AGCTTTGAACGAGAGCTTCAAGTTTGAGGACGCGGAGATGCCATTTAATGACGAGTACTTTGAAAAGCGACTAGAAAAGGCGCGGCCGCTCTAGCTCCAAGTTGTAAAAGGTGCAAGGATTCTCAAAGGATGATTTCTTGTTACAGCAAAAGCTAACGAGGAATGGCAAAATGGGCATCATGTTCACTGAAGATGGTGCCCATACTCCTGTCAACTGCGAAATGAACTTTCCTTGTTTGTGTAAATAAGGACTAAAGCGACACTTACAAGGACTTCATCAAGGGGACATCGCAACTTTTCAATGGAAATTAACAAATAATTTTACAACGAAGTCTCTCTGAAATAAAAAAATGTTAACAACAGTTTAAACAGCTAGAAGTTTCTTTGTCGGCGTATCTCCCGCATCTGCTTGGTGAAGCTGCTACAGAAGCTCTGTGAAAGTACAACTTGGAGCCATGGTAACAAAAACGAGAAATGGATTGTATTGGCCGCGGTCATAAAAAAAATAAAAAGAAACTGGCCAAACGACTATCGAACGGGTAACGTTGACCAGATTAAGCGTTTATGACCTTTCTTCCTTCATTCTGAAATCAAAATGACACATTTCAAATGGTGATAGCTGGGGATCCCCCACAACCTAACCAAGCTTCCTCTACAGGATCACACGGAGTACCTACTCTCTTCTGAATCTGGCGAATGCGAACCTGAATTGTATCTGGGTCAGTGTTACATGCAAGAACCTGCATGCGGTGGTTATAGCACATTCCAACGACAGTCGAGTTCGCTTGAAGACCAGGAAGTTGACACTGTCTGAACGACACGCCGTCGCACATTTGGATGGTAGTAGTTGTTGGTGTTTGTGAAAGACCAAAATATGGCTGGCATATTCCATCGGAAAACATGTTAAACACTTGTAAAGTTTCTGTAGTGGCTTTCTGTGAGGCATCTTCGAGACATGTTGTGTCTTTACAGAACGGATTGGTAAGATCGCAAGTGCCAAGAAATCCGTTACAGCACAGATACGCTCCTTGATAAACAGCGAAGTGCACAACGGAGCCGATGGGTTCCATATCTGGTATCCAAGCCAGATGTTTCATCATTGTAAACTCCATCCGGTCAAGTTGTGATGTTCGCGTCAGAAGTGGAAGCTCAGTGATCCCATTCATACGAGCGAGTATCAAGCAACATAGATTCGGTGCGCCGTCCAGTGGTGGTAAATGCGTCATGCGTTGGTGCAGACCTAGCTGGAGATAACGCAGTTCTGGCATATCGCTGAATAGACTCGTCTCGAAATTACCAAGGTTGT